CAACGACAGAAACAGATACGATTTTAGCAATCCTTCCTACAGGCAGTCAGTCACTGGTACCAGTAGCTTACTTCCTGTGAATTTCCTATGCATATACAACCGTATATTCTACACATGAGTAAAATCCATGCCTGATTTTATTTATTGATTAATTATTAGTAGTAGTATTTTTAAGATGGAGTCTCACTCTGCCGCCTACGTGGAGTGCAGTGGCACGATCTTGGCTCACCACAACCTCCGCCTCCCAGGTTCAAGCAGTTCTCTGCCTCAGCCTCCCGAGTAGCTGGGACTACAGGTGCACGATGCCATGCCTGGCTAATTTTTGTATTTTTAGTAGAGATGGGGTTTCACTGTGTTGGCCAGGCTGATCTCGAACTCTTGACCTTGTGATCTGCCCGCCTCGGCCTCCCAAAGTGCTGGGATTACAGGCATGAGCCACTGTGCCCGGCCAAAGTGCAATTAAATTTTTTTAAAAACCCATTTGGCCAGGTGTGGTGGCTCATGTCTGTAGTCCTAGCACTTTGGAAGGCTGAGATGGGAAGATCACTTGAGCCCAGGAGGTGGAGGCTGCAGTGAACTATGGCACTCCAGCCTGGATGACAGAGGAAGACCTTGTCTTTAAAAAAAACCCCAAAACAAATATGATTCTTGACACATATATAATAAGCACAGGTCAAAGGTTTATTTAAGGAACCAGCTATTTCAAAGGAGAATTTGGGTCAGGTGCAGCGGCTCAAGCCTATAATCCCAGCACTTTGGGAGTCCAAGGCAGGTGGATCAGCATCTTGGTTTCAGCATCTTGGTCAGGCTGAGCTTGAACTCCAGACATCGGGATTCACCTGTCTTGGCCTCCCAAAGTGGTGGGATTACAGACTTGAGGCCAGGAGTTTGAGACCAGCCTGGCCAACATGGTAAATCCCTGTCTCTACTAAAAATCCAAAAAAATAGCCAGGTGTAGTGGCTTGTGCCTGTAGTCCCAACTCCTCGGGAGGCTGAGGCAAGAGAATTGCTTGAACCTGGGAGGCAGAGGTTGCAGTGAGCTGAGATTGTGCCACTGTACTGCAGCCTGGGTGACAGAGAGAGACTCCAGCAAAAAAAAAAAAAAAAAAAAAGATACTTTGATGAACAGAGGTTAATACCTTTACTCAGGAAAAATGTGTGTGAGAAAGTTTACCAGGTTAGATACAAAACTGGTTAAAGACCTACTGGGAAATATAACTGTAACCTTTGAGGTTATCTTTTCTACCAGAGGGAAATCATTTGGAACCAAACTTCCTGAAGTTACCTTTTTTTTTTCTTTTTTTTGAGACAGTGTCTTGCTCTGTTGCCCAGGCTGGAGTGCAGTGTGCAGTGGTGTGATCTCGGCTCATTGCAACATCTGATTCCCGAATTCTAGCAATTCTCCTGCCTCAGCTTCCCAAGCAGCTGGGATTACAGGCACCTGCCACCACACCCAGCTACTTTTTGTATTTTTAGTAGAGATGGGGTTTCGGCATCTTGGTCAGGCTGAGCTTGAACTCCAGACATCCTGATCCACCTGTCTTGGCCTCCCAAAGTGGTGGGATTACAGGCGAGAACGACTGCACCGGCCCCTGAAATTACCATTTACCTTGTTGAAGTCTAGACTCTAATCAATAATGAATAGTAAATCAGGTGAGGTGGCTCACGCCTGTAATCCCAGTACTTTGGGAGGCTGTGGGCGGATCACGAGGTCAGAAGTTCAAGACCAGCCTGGCCAACATGGTGAAACCCCATCTCTACTAAAAATACAAAAATTAGCTGGGTGTGGTGGCAGGTGCCTGTAATTCCAGCTACTCAGGAGGCTGAGGCAGGAGAATCACTTGAACCTGGGAGGTGGAGGTAGCAGTGAGTACTGCACTCCAGCCTGGGTGACAGTGAAACTCTGTCTCAAAAAAAAAAAAAAAAAAAAGTAAATCAAACACAGGTACAGTCCCTTAGAATAGGGTCCCCTACCCCCGGTTCGTGGTCTGTTAGGAACTGGGTTGCACAGCTGGTGAGCCCCAGCTCCTGTCAGATGAGTGGCGGCATTAGATTCTCATAGGAGCATGAACTCTAATGTGAATTGTGCATGTGAGCGATCTAGGTTACACGCTCCTTGTGAGAATCGAATGCATGGCCCACCCCCGTCCATGGAAAAGTTGTCTTTCGTGAAACCAGTGCCTGGTACCAAAAAGGTTGAAAACTGCAGCCCTTATTTGCAAAGGTATATGCCACAACTGAGGAAAAAAACCCAAAACTGCTGCCTTAGAATATGAAGCACACTTCGGGTGGGTCTGTCAGATGTTAGGCAGGCTCCAGACGACTTGGAAATGGCATGCTGTCAGCCTTTTGTCTTACTGCCAAGCCTAGAGCAATTTTTTTTTTTTTTTGAGACGGAGTTTCCTTCTTGTTACCCAGGCTGGAGTGCAATGGCACAATCTCAGCTCAACACAACCTCCGCCTCCTGGGTTCAGGCAATTCTCCCGCCTCAGCTTCCTGAGTAGCTGGGATTACAGGCACGCGCCACCATGCCCAGCTAATTTTTTTTGTATTTTTAGTAGAGACGGGGTTTCGCCATGTTGACCAGGATGGTCTCCATCTCCTGACCTCGTGATCCACCCTCCTTGGCCTCCCAAAGTGCTCTGATTATTGGTGTGAGCCACCACGCCCGGCCTTTCTTTGTCTTTTTAATATTTTTTGTTTTTAGAGATGGGGTTTCTCTTGATTTCTAGTAGCTCTGAAATGAAAATAAATCAAACAAAAAAAGGGATAGGGTTTCTACATGTGGGTCAGATTGGTCTTGAACTCCTGACCTCAGGTGATCCACCCGCCTTGGCCTTCCACGTGCTGGGGTTACAGGCATGAGCCACTGTGCCCGGCCCCCTCGAACAATTTTTTAAAACTATGTACCAGAAATCTTTTTAAATCAATTCATAGAGAGCAGCCTTAACCTTTCAAATGACTTTATAGAATTCTCTTGCTTGGAAATGCCGTATTTTACTTAAAACGATTTACATGATATATGTAATTGAGTTAATACAAACCCTTTGGTGAACACGCAGTCTAGTTCTGCACTTTGACTGTTATAAATATGCTGCATTTATTTTATTTTATTTTTGAGATGGAGTTTCAAAACTGATCTTGTCACTCAGGCTGGAGTGCAATGGCACGACCTTGGCTCATTGCAACCTCTGCCTCTTGGGTTCAAACGATTCTCCTGCCTCAGTCGCTGGGATTACAGGCATGCACCACCATGCCTGGCTAATTGCTTGTATTTTTAGTAGAGACAGAGTTTCATCATGTTGTACAGGCTGGTCTCGAACTTCCGACCTCAGGTAATCTGCTTGCCTTGGCCTCCCAAAGGGCTGGGATTATAGGCATGAGCCACTGCACCCTGCCATAGTTTTTTAAGTTTTTGTAGAGATGGGGGAGTCTTACCATGTTACCACCTGAACATAAATGCTATTTTCTTTTTCTTTTCTGTTTTTTTTTTTTTCTTTTTCAGCCTCCTGAGTAGCTGGATTACAGGCATTCACCACCACGCCTGGCTAATTTTTGTACATTTAGTAGAGACGGGGTTTCATCATGTTGGCCAGGTTGGTCTTGAACTTCTGACCTCAGGTGATCTGCCCATCTTGGCCTCCCAAAGTGCTGGGATTATAGGCGTGAGCCACCTTGCCTGACCCTTACTGTCGTTTTAATGCCACTCTCCCTCAGGGTGACCAACCCATCCAGTTTGTCTGGGACCATTCTGGTTTCAGCACTGAAAGTCCTGTGTTCCAAGAAACACATCCTCCATTCTGTCCCACCTCTATTCTGGGCAAACAGGGACTGCTGGTCGACCCGCACTCCTTGGTTATAAGTAAGGCTGAGTGTGTTTGCCCGTGGTCACAGAAAGAACGGATTTTGGATGAGGAAGTGTTATGGGATCAGATTCGTTTTTTTGTTTTTTAGAGACTTGCTGTGTCACCCAGGCTGGAGTGCAGTGGCCTGAACACAGCTCACTGCTGCCTCAAACTCCTGGGCTCAGGTGATCCTCCCATCTCAGCCTCCTGGGTAGCTGGGGTTACAGGTGTGCAATGCCACACTCAATTTTTTAAAAACACTTTTTTTTTTTTTTATTTTAAAGAGACATGGTCTTGCTATATTGCACAGGCTGGTCTTGAACTCCTGGGCTCAAGTGATCCTCCCGCCTTGGCCCCCCAAAGTGCTGGGACTACAGGTGTGGGCCTCTGTGCCTGGCCAGGACCAGATTTTATAGAGGATAGAGTAGGAAGAAGAGCTTGCACTTATGAGGTGCATGACGGCTTCAGCTCTCTGCTTTGCAGAGTCTCAAGGAAGCTCTGAGAAACTTAAGCAGAGGCTGTTTTACACGTGCGGACACAGAGGCTTAGAGAGGTGAGATAAATGGCCAAGGCCACGTACCTAAGAAGAGACTGAGGCAGGATTTGAATCTCAGCCTGCATGCTGGAAATAGATGCTCGGTGCTGCAAAGAAAAATCAGCACTGAGACAGTGGATCTTCCGGCAAGCAATTTTTACTTCCTGGACTGCAGGAAGGGTACCCTCGCTAGCCACCTTGCCCCGAGAGTACAAAGAACAAAGGAAAACACACAAATTTATATCTTATGCATTTGGGGTCATCCTTACTGCTGTGTCTGATCTCCATTGGTTGGGGCCAGACCTCTCAATCTAAACTAAAACCTGATTGGCTAAAAACTTAAAACTTTTCTCAACAGGTAAAAGCAATGGAGAGCTGGGCCATGCCTGTGAGCACGTCCAGCACAGATATCCTGGTTAAAGTACAAGGATATAGAATGTACTGTAAGTGTGGCATGTCTGACAGCTACATAGCATAGGGCTTAACAGAGAGTTATTAGCACACGTACTCTTTTTCCAAGAAAGGAAACTTGAAAAAGGAACTTCTCTGCTTCCCACACCACATGTCACCACATGTGAGTAACTGGTAAGTGAGCGAGCATCCCTCCTCTTCTCTTGCAGGCCCCTGACTTGGGCCTCAGTGTCCCTGAAGATCATGATGGCGTATATGAACCCGGGGCCCCACTATTCCGTCAACACCTTGGCCCTCAGTGGCCCCAGCGTGGATCTGATGCACCAGGCTGTGCCCTACCCAAGTGAGTACATTCACTTCTCTTGGCACCCCAGGCTGGCCCCATCTCTTGGAGGACCTGTGGGTCCCTTTGCCTGCAGGAAGAAGGCAGTCACGGGGGCGACCTCACCATACACCAGCTCTCTGGGTTCATCTGAAATGCATGTCCCTTGGGAATGCAGGGAAGCACGGACAGTCCTAGAAATTTAGGATAGAGGTTCCTTTTAGGGCGGGGAAGAGGGGATGCAATCTGGAAGGGACAGCGAGGAATTTTCATCTGTTAGCAACACTTTATTATTCATTTATTTTTCAGAGTCAGGGTCTCACCCTGTCTTCTAGGCTGGAGTGCAGTGGTGTGATCATGGCGCCCCACAACCTTGAACTCCTGGGCTCAAGGGATTCACCCACCTCAGCCTCCAGGGTAGCTGGGATTGCAGGTGTGAAACATCAGGACTAGGCAGCAAAGCTTGTATGTGTGTATATATATATATATTTTATTTTTGAGACAGAGTCTCACTCTGTTGCTCACTCTGAAGTACAATGGTGCAATCATGGCTCACTGCAGCCTTGAACTCCTGGGCTCAAGCTATCCTCTTGCCTCAGCCTCCCGAATAGCTAGGAGTACAGGTACAGGCCACCATGGCTGGCTAACTTTTAAAATTTTTTTGTAGATTGTGCAGGATCTGGATTAATAAAACATACAAAAAATTATTATTTTTTTGTGAATATGGGGTCTCCCTGTGTTGCCCAGGCTGGTCTCAATAATCCAACTGTCTCAGCCACCCACAGCGCTGGGATTACAGGCATGAGCCACTGCACCTGGCCTACAAAGCCTTCTTTCTTTCTTTTTCCTTCCTTCCTTCCCTCCTTCCCTCCCTCCCTCCTTCCTTCCTCTTTCTTTCTTTCTTTCTTTCTTTCCTCTCTTTCTCCTTCCTTCCTTCCTTCCTTCCTTCCTTCCTTCCTTCCTTCCTTCCTTCCCTCCCTCCCTCCCTCCCTTCCCTTCCCTTCCTTCCTTCCTTCCTTCCTTCCTTCCTTCCTTCCTTCCCTTCCCCCTTCCTTCCTTCCTTCCTTCCTTCCTTCCTTCCTTCCTTCCTTCCTTCCTTCCCTTCCTTCCTCCCTTCCCTTTCCTTCCTTCCTTCCTTCCTTCCTTCCTTCCTTCCTTCCTTCCTTCCTTCCCTTCCCTTCCCTTCCCCTTCCTTCCTTCCTTCCTTCCTTCCTTCCCTTCCTTCCCTTCCCTTCCCTTCCCTTCCCCTTCCTTCCTTCCTTCCTTCCTTCCTTCCTTCCTTCCTTCCTTCCTTCCTTCCTTCCTTCCTTCCCTCCCTCCCTCCCTTCCTTCCTTCCTTCCTCTTTCTTTCTTCTTTCTTTTCTTTCTTTCTCTTTCTTTCTTTTCTTTTCTTTCTTTCTTTTTGACAGAGTTTCGCTCCTGTTGCCCAGGCTGTAGTGCAATGGTGTCATCTCAGCTCACTGCAACCTCCGCCTCCTGGGTTCAAGCGATTCTCCTGTCTCAGCCTCCTAAGTAGATGGGATTACAGGCGCCTGCCACCCCACCTGGCTAATTTTTATAGATCCTTATTTTTGAGTGAAGTGAGCACTCAGTTATTTGTAGTGTTATTCTTTAGCTGGTTTTTTTTTCCCCACTAAGTTGAGCGGTGTGGACTTGCTACTTTTATAGGCTAGAAATTGTTAATGTCATGCTTCAACTGAATGTGTCTTAGACGGTGCATGAGAGAGTTTCGAAGAGGGAAAATGACTGACACATATATTGGATGGATACACTGCCTTGTAGGGCTAAAGCCAGTTCCCCTTGGGGTCAGGCATGAGCCCTAGGATGCCAGGACAGGGTGAGGTGTAGGAGGGCAGGGAACGTGTATTCCACCCCTAGTTCAGCAGATGGCACCCAGGATGGAATTCTTGGCATCCCACCAGCCTCAGGGCCTCCTCATGGCAGCAGATGTGGATGATCTGAGGGTCCTGTTTCCCATCCCACCCCAGGCGCCCCCAGGAAGCAGCGGCGGGAACGGACCACCTTCACCCGGAGCCAACTGGAGGAGCTGGAGGCACTGTTTGCCAAGACCCAGTACCCGGATGTCTATGCCCGCGAGGAGGTGGCTCTGAAGATCAGTCTGCCCGAGTCCAGGGTTCAGGTGCGGTGGTGGGTCCCCGGACCCCTCCCGACCCTTCCTGTGACCTTCCATGGGCCCTCCCTGGACCCAGAGTGATGGGAGGAGGGAGAGATCACAGGGTTACAGCCACAGTTATAAAGGGGACAAAAATTCCTCCCTCCGCCATCCCACTGATTCCCCACCTCTTACTGCTCTCACCGCCCTCCGATCCTCTCCGGCCACGCTGGCCTCTGACCTGCCTGCCGGGCACCCCCCTGCCTGGGGCCTTTGCACTCAGTGTCCTCTTTCTGAAATGCTCATTTTCCAGATAACCATATGGCAGGCCCCATCGCCTTGTTTGCGTCTTTGCTTATCCATCAATGAGACGCACACTGACCACAGCATCTCACCCCTCGGTGTTTCCCCGCGACCCTGATTCCATGCTGCCCCTTACCCCGCTCAATTGTTTCTTCCACAGTATTTATCACCCTCTAAGATACCATCTGATTTATGTATCTACTGTTTATTTAGGCTCTGTCTCTCCCAACTAGAATGTCAGTTCCATGGATGGACCCTCAGAGTAGTAGAAGATGGTTAATGCACATTTATGAACTGACTGACTGATGGGTGGGTGGGTGGATGCATAGATGAATGTATGTATGTGTGACTGTATATGTGTGTGTGTGTATGTGTGATTGGAAGCGTGGATGAGTGTCTGTGCATGCATGAGTATCTGTGTATGATTAAATGGATACATGTATATATGTGTTTGCATGAATGCACATAGGTAAGATAGATGGTTGAATGTATGCATGCATGATGTAGGTATACATGATGTATGTACACATGTACAGTTGTATGTATGCATGCATGAATGGATGGATGGGTGTATTTATATATGAGTGTATGCATGTATATATGATTGGACAAAGTGTGTGTTGTAGGAGGGTATATATGTATGATTGGATGGATTATGTGTGTATAATTGTATATTTGTATGCTTGTATGATCAGATGAATGGATGAATGTACATATGATGTACACATGTATAGATAGACCATTAATACATGTGTGATGCATGTGTGTATGATGTATGTACATACAATTGTATAAGATGGATGAATGAACCTATGTATGATGTATGTGTGTACACTTGTATGTATCATCAGATGGGTAAGCGTCTGGATAATGTATGTGTGATCAGATGGACTGGTGAATGTGTACATGACATATACATGTATGAGGTATGCATGTACGCTCAGATGAATGGATGCATAATGAATGTGTATATGGCGTATGTGTGTATAATTGTATGCATGTATTTTGTATGATGTATGCATGATGTACACATGTGCACACATGTATGTATAATTGGATTGATAAATGAAATGTGTGTTGTATGTATGTATGATTAAAGTGCAGCTATGTATGATGTATATGTGTACAGTTTATGTGTCTATAATTGTATATTTGTATGTTCATGTGATCAGATGGATGAATATATGTATGGTATATGTATGTATGATCAGATAGATGGGTAAATGTATGCATGGTGTATGTGTGTATGGTGTGTGTATAATTGTATGTGTGTATTATGTTTGTATTGGATGGATGGATGTAGGTGTGATGTTCATGTACACACACATGTATGATTGGATGGATGGCTGTAGGTGTGATATATGTGTGTGTTCATGTACACAACATGTATGGATGATGGATGTAGGTGTGATGTATGCATGTGTTCACGGGCACATGCATGTATGAGTGGATGGATAGATGGATGAACAGATGCTCCACAGCTGGAAGCAAAGTAGAGAGATGTGACCCTGGCACCTCTCACCAATAAGCATCCTCATTCCTGGGAACCCTGCGGCTCTCCTAGGCCTCTTCCCCACTTACCCACCCCATCTCCCCTCTTGCTCCCCAGGTTTGGTTCAAGAACCGCAGGGCTAAATGCAGGCAGCAGCGGCAGCAGCAGAAACAGCAGCAGCAGCCCCCAGGGGGTCAGGCCAAGGCCCGGCCTGCCAAGAGGAAGGCGGGCACATCCCCAAGACCCTCCACGGATGTGTGTCCAGACCCCCTGGGCATCTCAGATTCTTACAGCCCCCCTCTGCCCGGCCCCTCAGGCTCCCCCAGCACAGCTGTGGCCACTGTGTCCATCTGGAGCCCAGCCTCAGAGTCCCCTTTGCCTGAGGCGCAGCGGGCTGGGCTGGTGGCCTCCGCACCATCTCTGACCTCGGCCCCCTATGCCATGACCTATGCCCCGGCCTCCGCTTTCTGCTCTTCCCCCTCTGCCTATGGGTCTCCAAGCTCCTATTTCAGTGGCCTAGACCCCTACCTTTCTCCCATGGTGCCCCAGCTGGGGGGCCCGGCTCTTAGCCCCCTCTCTGGCCCCTCCGTAGGGCCCTCCCTGGCGCAGTCCCCCACCTCCCTATCAGGCCAGAGCTATGGCGCCTACAGCCCCGTGGATAGCTTGGAATTCAAGGACCCCACGGGTACTTGGAAATTCACCTACAATCCCATGGACCCTCTGGACTACAAGGATCAGAGTGCCTGGAAGTTTCAGATCTTGTAGAGGATGCAGTCTCCATCTCTCTCCATCCGGCCTCGGGACCCTCTCTCATCTAAATCTGCTTCCCTGCAGCTTAGATCCCGGGAAGGCATCCCTGAGAAAGCAGCTGGAACCAGCGGTCCTTCCCAAGACGGTGGCCTCTGTGGCTCTGGGTCCAGCTTACCTCCACAGAGCCCACCCCTTTCCTCCACAGGGAGAGGCTCCTCCCTCTCCTGGGACAGCTCAGAGGTCCTAGTGATTGTCTCAACCCCAACACTCTCTGGCACGATTGTGACCGCTGAAGTACGCCACGAGCTCCAGGCTTCAGAAACTGCTGCTGAGAACTTGCTCCAAGAAGAAATCAAACCAAAAGTTGATTTGGGGTCATGTGTAGGTCAGAATCACCATGTCCTTGAATGCCCTTGAACAAGCAGGTAGTGGGGCTCGACTCCTTAACTTTCCACATGGACATTTTTTTTTTCCTTTTTTTTTGAGATGGAGTCTCGCTGCCACCCAGGCTGGAGTGCAGTGGTGTGATCTCGGCTCACTGCAACCTCCATGTCTCGGGTTCAAGTGATGCTCCTTCCTCAGCCTCCTGAGTAGCTAGGATTACAGGTGTGCCCCACCACGCCCGGCTAATTTTTGTATTTTCAGTAGAAACGGGTTTTCAGCATATTGGCCAGGCTGGTCTCGAACTCCTGACCTCAAGTGATCCGCCTGCCTCGGCCTACCAGAGTGCTGGAATTACAGGCGTGAGCCGCCGTGCCAGGCCCTACACATGGACATTTCTTTAGCATATGGTTACGGACCCTTCTAGAAATTCCAAAGACAGACTTTAAGAAGCCCCTTCGGGAAACCTTAGGCCAATGACGCAGTTACATTAAAAAGAAATTATCTGGAAATTTGACAGACTTCACAGATATCAGGCTTACACGGTAGGTGTAGGGGGCTGTGTGAGAGAGAAAGAGCTATATCCATATACGTGGATACACATATATGTACTTCTTAGTTTCTTCTTAAAGACATTTTATCACTCATTCTCGCATTAGCACATTGGGAATGCATCGATTTGGTAGAAAGGCAACTTGCCTGTTCCAGCTCTGCTCCTTTGTTCTTTTGTTTTAGCATTTTCTAAAGGTGAATTTCATCCAGACACCGGTGGAATTGGGCAGCTGCATGGGACGAACCACCCATAGTTGTGGCTATTTCACAGAGAAGCTGGAGCCTCCAATGTGTAAATAAGAGACAGGAAGAGGGGAAATAGATGTGGAGGAGGCAGCCCTACGTTTCAAACATACATTCCCTTTTTTAGATTTTTTTTTTTTAATTGCTTTTCAGTTTTGATGGTGGGATTGAAAACTAGAACTTGGCTTGAGGACGTTTTCCAGGGGGGGCACCATTATTTCTTGGAATAGAATTTTACTCATGGTGACACAGGCAAGCCCTTGTGAGAACCTGAAGATGGATTCAGGTCGTTGAATGCTCAGAAGTTGGGTGTTGGGCCCCTGCCTCCTCAGTCGGAGTTCGCCTTTCATTTTCGGGTGGGGAGGCGGGATCGGAGAGCCCTTCAGTGGAGTTCAGGAGTCGAGGTACAAAAAGAAAGTCGGGCAGGAGGGCAGTGGTGTGCTGGCAGGAGCTAACAACAGGCTCTCCCAGGAAGAAGAAAAGCTTGGTGTGCAGCGTTTGCCAATTTCCGTGGTGTAAATACTCCAACCACGGATGACTTCAAGCTAGCAACCTGAGGTCACTGGACTATGAGCTGGGAAGAGATAGGGCACCATCTGTGCTTACGAGCAGGTACACACTGTCAGCAGCACCCCAATGTTAGGAGAAAGGCTGGGTGTGAAGAGAGGCCGGGAGGTGTCAGATGTTTCCAGCACCAGACCCCCTGAGGGGCACACCCTGATCTCCAGAGCCCCAAAAGAAGCTTTTATTCAACATAAAACACATTCATCTCTCATGGGCCCCAGTCATGCTGGATTCTGGGACATTAAGCCCAGGAGTGGGCCAGGTGTGGTGGCTCATGCCTGTAGTCCCAGCACTTTGGGAGGCCGAGGCAGGCGGATCGCCTGAGGTCAGGAGTTCGAGACCAGCCTGGCCAACACGGTGAAAGCCCGTCTCTACGAATAATACAAAAATTAAGCCAGGTATGGTGGTGGGCGCCTGTAATCCCAGCTACTCGGGAGGCTGAGGCGGGAGAATCACTGGAACTCGGGAGGCGGAGGTTGCAGTTAGCAGAGGTCGCACCACTGCACTCCAGTCTGGGCGACAAGAACGAAATTCCATCTCAAACACAACAACAATGAAAAAACCCAGGGATGGCTCAGGTGTCCAGTGTGGGATGAAAATATAAACAGAAGACAACCTGTGTCATTGGGGAGGCTGGGGGAGCCAGACAAAACTCACACGGGAGGGGCAGGGATGAGGTAACATTGTGTCCTGGGTCTGTGTGAACGTTGGGACCAGAATCCACTATTGGTTACATTCTTCAGAGACACTGACGCTCTGCACTGGAGCCCAGGACTAGGGCGTGGATGAGAATCTTCTCCTTATTCATGGGGGTGGCTGTGTCTTGTGCACAGCCCTAAAGCCAGGAAGAGTGACAAGGCTGGTGGCGGCAGAAGGAAGAAGCCGGGAGCCTCCCTGAGAAGGTGTCACTTTCTCTGTCCTCCTCTTCCCTACACCCTGGCCTCTGGGTCCCCCTTCTCTGGCCACTCGAAGAATGAAACCGATTAAAATGTTGGATCTCATTTAAAGTCTGGGCTGATTCTTTAATTTCTGTGTTTTTTTTTTTTTTTTTTTTTTTCTGGGAGGGGTAGGTAGAAACAGGAACTGCTCCGTTCCTTCTCTCTGTGGGGAATGGGTCCATTCTGTGTCTCCTGTCTCATCACAGTCCTTTCCTTGACATCTCCCTAAAGTCAGTGTACGAAGGATCAGGGGCTGGGTGCAGTGGCTCACGCCTGCAATCCAATGCTTTGAGAAGCTGAGGACGGATGATTGATGAAGGCCAGGAGTTTGAGACCAGCCTGGGCAACATAGAGACTTCTGTCTCTACAAAAAATTAAAAAAATTAGCCCTGGCGTGGTGATGTGTGCCTGTGGTCCCCGATACTCGGGAAGCTGAGATGAGAGGATTGCTTTAGTCTAGGAGTTTGAGGCTGCAGGGAGCTATGACTGCCCAGTGCCCTCCAGCCTGGGAGATAGAAGAGAAGAGATCCTGTCTCTTAGAAAAATACAACGTAGGAGGAGTAACAGGGGTCCCCAGGACCAGCCCCGGCCTCACCCATCTGTGACCTTCCAGTGCCCCTCTGGAAAGAACTGGGGGTGATGAGAATGCTCCCTGCCTCAGTGGCAGGTTGTGAAGATAATCGCCAGCATTTAGAGCCACGCCCAGTCTTGGCCAGCCTTGGCTCCCAGCATCCAGCCTTCTGCAGCTTCATCTCTTCTACCCCTTTTGCTTTCCATCTCTTCCCCTGATACTTTTCAGCTTCTCAATCTCACCCTTTCTCTCTCGTCTCTTCTTCTCTCTCTTTCTTTTCTGCTTCTTGTCTTTCAGACTCCCAGGTCTTTGTTTCATTTGGATGGATTTTCACCTTTTTCTTTCTTTCCCCCTCTCTTCTTTTTCTCCTTCCTTCCTCCCTCCCTCCCTCCCTCCCTCCCTCCCTCTCCTTTCCTCCCTTTCCCTCCCCTCCCTTCCCCTCCACCCACTTCCCCCCTCCCTTCCTCTCCTCTCCTCTCCTTTTGATATAGGGTCTCACTCTGTCACCCAGGCTGGAATGCAGTGGCACGATCTTGAATCACTGCAACCTCTGCCTCCTGGGTAAATGTGATCCTGTTGTCTCAGCCTCCCGAGTAGCTGGGACTACAGGCGCCCGCCACCACACCTGGCTAATATTTGTATTTTTAGTAGAGACGGGGTTTTACCATGTTGGCCAGGCTGGTCTAGAACTCCTGACCTTGTGATCCACACACCTCAGCCTCCCAAAGTGCTGGGATTACAGGTGTGAGCCACCGCACCTGACGATTTTTTTATTTTTAGTAGAGACGAGGTTCCGCCATGCTGCTCAGGCTGGTCTCCAACTCCTGGGCTCAAACAGTCCACCTGCCTCGGCCTCCCCAAGTGCTGGGATTATAGGTGTGAACCACCATGCCTGGCCTTCCTCTGAGTTCCTGTTTTTCCAGCTCTAGGCTTTTTTTTTTTTTTTTTTGAGACAGGTTCTTGCTCTGTTGCCCAGGCTGGAGTGCAGTGGCAAGATCTCAGTTTATTGCAGCCTCCACCTCCGGGGTTCAAGCGATTCTCCTGCCTCAGCCTCCCAAGTAGCTGGGACTACAGGCATCCACCACTATGCCCAGCTACTTTTCGTATTTTTAGTAGAGACGGGGTTTCGCCATGTTGGCCAGGCTCGTCTGGAACTCCTGACCTCAAGCGATCCACCCACCTCAGCCTCCCAAAGTACTGGGATTACAGGTGTGAGCCACCGCACCCGGCCTCCAGGTCACCTCTCTCTGCCTGTATTCCTCTCAGTTGCTGAATCCCAGGTTAAGACTTTTGTTGGGGGATGATAGGAGTTACATATAGGATGGAGGATCAGGCAGGCTTGCTGTCTGAGCCGAGCTCAGCCTCTTCTGGTCATCTGACCTCAGGTGATTCATTTCTCCCAGCCTCAGTTTCCCCACCTGTAGCATGGAGCATCTAAGAAGACCCACCTCAAGAGAACACAATGATGTTATTATATTAATTACTTGGTCCTGTAGCCCGGTCCATGGTAAGAGCTCAACAGACATTGATGTATTTTTGTGGTAAAATACACATACTATAAAATGCATTCACTTTCTTCATCTTAAGGTACTTAATTCAGTGGCATTGAACACATTCATAGAAGAAGCCGCACACAAAGACCACATATTGTATTATCCTATTTGTATGAAATATTCAGAATAGGCAAATCCAGTGGGGCGCGGTGGCTCACACCTGTAACCCCAGCACTTTGGGAGGCAAGGCGGGCGGATCACCTGAGGTTGGGAGTTCGAGACCAGCCTGACCAACATGGTGAACCTCCGTCTCAAAAAAAATCAAAAAGTTCTAAGTCTTTTAATTCTCAGCACAGCCCATCAGATAGACACTATTATTATGATTATTTGTTTATTTATTTTTTGAGACAGAGTCTCGACCTGTTGTCCAGGCTGGAGTTCAATGGAAGGATCTCAGCTCGCCAAAACCTCCGTCTCCTGGGTTCAAGTAATTCTCCAGCCTCAGCCTCCCGAGTAGCTGGGATTACAGGCATGAGCCACCATGCCCAGCTAATTTTTTTTTTGGTATTTTTAGTAGAGATGGGGTTTCTCCATGTTGGTCAGGCTGGTCTCGAACTCCCGACCTCAGGTGATCTGCCCGTCTGGGCCTCCCAAAGTGCTGAGATTACAGGCGTGAGCTACCATGCCTGGCCGATACAATTATTATGATCCCTATTTCACAGATGAGGAAACTGAGGCAGAGGGCGGCTGGCTGACCTGCCTGAGGTCCCAGGCTAGGAAGGGGTGGACCCAGGCTTGATATTCACCTTGTCAGGTTGCCAGGCCTCCTTGCTGGTCTCTGTCCCTTCCATGTTCTATCCTTCATTTAACTCCTGTTCTTGAATTTTTATTTATGCATTTGTAGAGATGGGGTCTTGCTATGTTGCCCAGTCTGGCCTTGAACTCCTGGACTCTAAATGGTCCTCTTGCCTCGGCCTCTCAAAGTGCTGGGATACTAGGTGAGACCCCCTCCTCCCCAGGTCTCAGCTGCGAGTGCTTCTCTCTCCTCGGTCCCTCTCTCCATCTCTTCCCTCGCCCCCATATGTCTCTGTCCCTCCCTCCCCTCAGCTGTTTCCTCTGCCCCTGACCAGGACTAATTTAGCAAATGCTCCAATCCTCTTACTGCCACGGCCCAGCCTCAGCAGAATGGCAGGGGAATTAGCGAGGATTAGGTTCAGACCCATGATCTGTAGGGGAGGCAGCTCCGGGGAGTTTTAACGAAATGATGCCCCCTCCTCCTGCACTTCTGTCCCCTCCGTGGAAAAGCACTCGTGCCCCGGGACACGATGATGATGAAGTCACAGCTAAACTCTTCGCGGAGGGCCTCTACGTGCCAAGCACTGCCCCTTCACTGTGGAAACGTCAGTGCCGCTCCCTGAGGGAGGAGCTGTCCCCCACCTGGTTTTAAGGATCAGGACAGGTTAATTAACTTTCCTAATGCAAATGGGATCCAAGTCAGCCTTGCTGGTGCTTCTCAGGTTAAAGATGAAGAAACTGCCCCACCGGTGGGCTGGAAAGGAGACATTTTCCAGAGAAACCCGAGGCCCAGAGCAGTAATGAAGAGGGGGCTGTTTTCCATGAATGTGTGAAACCAAATTCCATTCCCAAGAGGAAGGGAATGTGGTCTAGAGAAGTCAGAGAAAGGAACCAACTTTCTAAACACAGAATACACCTTATTTTATTTTACTTGCTTTTTTTTTTTTTTTGAGGTGGAGTCTCACTCTGTTGCCCAGGCTGGAGTGCAGTGGCACAATCTCGGCTCACCACAACCTCTGCCTCCCAGGTTCAAGCGATTCTCCTGCCTCAGCCTCCCAAGTAGCTGGAATTACAGGTGCCCGCCACCATGCCTGGCTAATTTTTGTATTTTCAGTACAGATGGGGTTTCGCCATGTTGGCCAGGCTGGTCTCAAACTCCTGACTTCAAACGATCCGTCCTCCTTGGCCTCCCAAAGTGCTGGGATTACAGGCATGAGCCTCCTCGCCCAGCCACTTCTGTTCTTTTTCTTTTTTATTTTTTTGAGGCAGGTGCTTGCTGGGCTGTCCAGGCTGGAGTGCAGTGATGCCATCACAGCTCACTGCAGCCTCGACCTCCCAAGCTCAAATGGTCCTCCCACTTCAGCCTCCCGAGTAGCTGGGACTCTAGGCATGCACCATCACACCCAGCTAGTGTTTGTATTTTTAGTAGAGATGGAGTCTCACTATGTTGAACAGGCTGGTTTCAAACTCCTGGGCTCAAGTGATCCCCCCAACTCCCTTCCTCGGCCTCCCAAAGTGCTGGGATTACAGGTGTGAGCCACTATGCGCAGCCTCTATTTCTTTCTTTTTTTCTGAGACAGTCTTACTCTGTCACCCAGATCGTGCAATGGTGCGATCTCGGCTTACCGCAACCTCTGCCTCCAGGATTCAAGCAATTCTCCTGCCTCAGCCTCCTGAGTATCTGGGATTACAGGCACCCGCCACCATGCCAGACTCATTTTTGTATTTTTGGTAGAGACGGGGTTTCACCATGTTGACCAGGCTGGTCTCAAACTCCTGACCTTGTGATCTGCCCACCTTTGCCTCCCAAAGTGCTGGGATTCCAGGCGTGAGCCACGGCGCCTGGCCTCTGTTTCTTATATCTGTCTGTGTTCCTATTTCTTTTTTTTTCTTTCTTCCCCGCTGCCTGGCTTCCCAAGCTTATGACATCTTCCGCTTCTGCACCTCTCTCATACTTTCTGTTTTCTGGGAATAACATTTGCACCCCTCCATCCGGCCCCGGCTCAAGTCTCCATCCTTTCTTCCCTGCCTTGCTAGCCTCTCCCTGTCCCTAAACAAGGCCAGCTCTAAGACAGGCCGGTGTGGGGGCTGAGGTGGCTAGAGAGGCTTGCTGCTGAGCTGACAGCAGCCATTTTTTATCCCCCCCAAGACAGAGTCTTGCTCTGTCCCCTGGGCTGGAGTGCAATGGCGCTCTCTCGGCTCAC